AGCGTGGCTGCGCATGCCCTGTTATGCACTAGGCCATGGGTGACCCACACCTACACAAGGAGTTATATGACAACATCCTCTATCTTTTATTTGAGCTGGAGGTCTGTATACAAAAGGAGATTCCCTGGTATGAACTAGAATCTGCCAATTCAGCAAGATGGTGAAAACTAGCATTTCAATGGTCAAAGTCTGAACTTTTTTAATTTGCTATGTTTAAAATGTTATTAACATTTATTTGATTACAGAACTCACTGTTTTCAATATGGATTCCCGTAGCAGGATGGGAATTTTACTTTTTAGCAGAAAGCACAGCATTTCTGTAGACTTTATACAGACACAAAACTAGTAATAGGGCCAGGTCTATTTTGTAAGGATTGAGTCAGAGGATTGAAGGTCATTTGTCTTTGAAGCAAGCAAGAAGATACAAAGGTTTAATCCAAAGTAAATAAGCAGAATCAGCATTAGTACTTAGGGAATAAAATATAAGCTTGGGTCTTAGTCTTTTTGCAGCTTAAGTAAAGGTAAATGTTCCCCTCACACATATGTGCTAGTCACTCCTGACTCTAGGGGGCGCTGCTCATTTCTGTTTCAAAGCCGAAGAGCCAGTGCCATCTGAAGACGTCTTTGTGGTCATGTGGCCGGCATGACTAAACACCGAAGGCACATGGAATGCTGTTACCTTCCCACCAAATGTGGTTCCTATTTTTCTACTCGCATTTTTTACATGCTTTCGAACTGCTAGGTTGGCAGAAGCTGGGACGAGTAACAGGAACTCACTCCGTTACATGGCGCTAGGGATTCGAACCTTCGAACTGCCAACCTTTCTAATCAACAAGTTCAGCGTCTTAGCCACTGAGCAACTGCGTCCCTTTTGCTGCTTATATTCAAGCTAAAGCACTTTCTGTGCAAGCTAAAAAAAGCTTTCATAAACATAAGTACAATTTTTCCCCAAATATTTTCTTAATCTATACACTCAACCCTAACAGAATATTTAAGTTGTCATTGGAGGACAGAATTTATACTACTGAAATTTACAATCTGAATACTAAAGGCTAAGGGAAATGTTGACCAAAACAACATGCACACCCCAGGAACATTTCCATTTTACCTGGAGTTCCAGCTAATGCTGCTTTTGCACCTGTTAGAGTCAATAGCCCCCCTTCCTTCAGGTATTTGGTAGCCAAATGACTAGAGATGGTTGATGTCCAAACACTTTGCTTCCACATCAGGTCACTGTTTTTGTATAAAGCTAAGGGATGGACAGGAAAATATGAAAAACATTAGACATCATGAAACATATACACTTTCTGGAGAGAGCATCACCGACTGTTCCCTCTTAGCCTGATAAGGTCTTGTTCTGCAGAAGACACCTAAGAACAGCTCCCTAGCTTAGCTGCCAGGTATGAAATAGGAATTTAATTCCAACCTGCCCAGTCAGATATCTGTGAGTTTAACAATGGGATGGGCATACATTAAAAAACAACTGGTAGCATTCAGATACCTGTAGCATTTAAAGCAAAACATCTAGATCACTATCCCAGTTCAAAAATAAATTGTCAAATGCAATTATTATTGCACTTATTGTGCTCATTTCTCAACACTTCTTTTTAATCTGATTTAAATCTAATGAGATATCGATGACTCAATCCTACTTCAAGTTTAGACACTTCCCTATTAACCATCTGGCTTCCAGATACGGACAGGAGTGAAGAACAGAAATACTTTCCGAATGCACTGTACAGAGTAATAAGAGTGGGATAAAAATCAAATAAGTAAAATAAAAATCCCAAAGTCGCTATCTTTGCAATTGTAGACAGTTTCAGGACAGGCTCAACTGCGCAACAAAGTTTTACTGAAATGCATTTAAATTTAGAAATCTGTTATGAGGTCTTCTATTTTTCCTCAACAGGCTTTTTCCCCCCAATGCCAGCCAGTTCAGGACACCACTGGAAGAGAGGAAGCAGATGTTATCCCACAGCTTCTATTGCATCAATTGAATTTCAGGGCTGGAGAAATCAGGAAGACATTAAATGGGGGAGCTATAGCATTGTTTGCTGAGAAGCTCCATCACAGACCAGAAATAGGCCATTCTGAAAGACCACGGGAAAGAGAAAGAAGAGAGCATTGTGTGAATTGCCATCCTTACATTTTGCCTTGGCACTGCCTCCAGCCCATCCACCAGCCACACAGAGGATAGCATCCACTTTCTTTTCACCCAGGACTTTCCCGACGTCTTCTGTCACCTTTCAAAAGGCAGAATTAGAAGAGCTGAGTTACAGAACAAGTACCAGCAACTTTGATTTATAACCAGTCCTTACCAAAGTAGTACACTGACTCTCTAAAACAAGACAGATAAATATTTCTGCATATGGAATCATTAGAAGCCTGGCTTTGTTGGTGTTAAGCTTCCAGCAAATCTTAACCTGTAATCTGAAATCATCTGGTTTTGGCACAGATTTTATTAAACTAAAGTAGCTGGGCTGCTGTTTTCTCTCTCTTTCTTCTCTTATTCAGATATAAAGGAGTAGAAAGAGTTCTAGTTGCCTGATTAACAGGGAGAATTTTCCAAACCCTTTCCTTACCCGCAACAGAGCAATCTTCATGCTTTTTTCACCATTTTGCTGTTATTAACAACTTTGGGAATTAGTAAAATTACAGATATGAAAATAACAGAAAACGGCATTCTAAGGAGGGAAACATGGTTTCTTTTCCTGGGGAGGATTGTGGGGAAAGACAGAGGTGTCACTTTGGTATGAAAAAGATGCCTCAAAACTTTTTTGGATGAGCAAGACTGAACAAGTTACAAAACAGGTTTTGGAAAGCTACTGGGAAAAATAAGACTGACATTTTCGTGAGTGAAATATGACAGAAAGCTGCAGAGCAGATGCTAATGTAACTAATGGAATTGGGAATTTTGCAAAACTTTTCATGGTCCTTTTTCCTGAATTTTCATCTTGTTAACATGCATGAACCATACTTCCCTACCTCTAAATAGGAGCAAGAATGCAAAGCATAATGCTTGATATAAGCATGTGTTTTGTAAAGCTGGCCTGGCCCTCTTTTTCCATTCTCAGTTTTGGATCTCTCACAAGCAGGGGCTGAGCATGCACCAAAAATATTACTCCCAAGAGGACTTTCAAAAAAGTCAGGACAGTAACTTTGATGGCATCACGGGAAATGCTTTACATTTTAATAGGCACTGAAAATACAGGTAGTCCTCGACTCAGACCACAATCGAACCCAAAATTTCTATTGCTAAGCTTACAGTTAAGTAAGCTTTGCTCCACTTTACAATCTTTCTTGCCACAGTTGTTAAGTTATGATTGCCACAGCTGTTAAGTAACATGATTGTTAAATGAATCTGGCTTCCCCGTTGACTTTGCTTGTCAGAAAGTCACAAAAGGGATCACATGACCCCAAGACACTGTAACCGTCATAAATATGAACTAATTGCCAAGTGCCATGGGAATGCTGCAATGGTCACACGTATGAGAAACTTCCCCAGTTTTTCATTGCCATTGTAATTGAACAGTCACTAAACAAATGGCCATAACTCGAGAATTACTTGTATATCACATCTAAGGGAGGCCTATGTGACACAAGTTGGACTCTGGCATGTGATATTATGTT